GGAGGGAAACCCCCAGCCGTGCTACTATAGTCTCAGACTCACACAGCACGTTAAAAGGAATAATAATAATAATAATAATAATGACTTTGAGTAGGTGCCATCTGCGAGGTTCGGTGAAAGGAACCTGGCACGAATCGCATCCGAACTTTTCAACCTTCCAAGCCCTCAAAACGTAAATTCAATTGACGCTTAGATTGCCAAGATGTGTCACCACTCATACAATTACATCCTAAGTAGCTGGCTGTGTTTCTAAGTATCTTGAGATACCTCACGTGACATAAACACCGCCCAATACCTTGGTACGTGGCTGGTGAGAGACAACCGAGCCCCTGGTAATGACAAAAACTGCGGACCCATGTGTCAACCCTTGTGTCAAGAAGTAGGTTGTTTACTTCTTCTCACAGAAGCAAAGAACCACCCCAGTTCGCGACCACTTTTATACTTTAGCACGTGCCACTAGGCGCGTATAATAAAATGCGATTTGCAACAAACCAAGAAGAGAAACCCCAACTCAGGGCTCCCAATTGGCCGGCCAAACAAAAAGGCAAGTCAGCAAACCAAAGATTCCTCCACGTTAACACTCCAGCATCTCCACATCGCAAGGCTGATGCTAGCCAAACTTGGTCCCTCGAACTACGAAACAGCTGAAGGACTGCGCCTCAAAGCAGGATGGCCAGCCGGTGGTGCTGACTGTTGTCTACGAGGGTGGGACCATTGGCAGGATCAGTAGGTTAACACTAATTTTGACTAATGTAACCCTCAATCCTCTGGTGGGTGACTGATTGGTGTTTCATGAACGAGATGACCGTCGTTTGTTCTGTTTCGCTGGTCATGCCCCCGTTGGTCACTTCAAATCTCTGAGCCAGCAGGCTTGGCATTTTAATGCAATGAATACGGTCGTGTGTACGTCAAAATAAGCTTCAGTGCGGGCTTCGCATTGGCCTAGAACTTCCAAAACTGAGCCACAGCTGACATGTGGCTTGTATTTTCTCGCTATTTTAGGCCAATCAAATATGGTCATAGTAAAATCACTTCCCCTTTTCTCTCCACGGCCAATCGTGGGCCTAGATGTTCTTGGGACAAAAGAACGCAACACGCTATTGGTTTTAGTTTCCGACTGGTTGGTTGTTGGAGAACCCCCAATTGAGTGGTGGTATTTGGGAAAACACGTAAACGAAGACACTCTTTGCACATAGTCACCCTCTAAAGTTATGCTTCGCATGCAGGACCTCCAAATGCGCCGCATCAGCCGTTCCCGCTTAACCCAGCATGTGAAAAATCAGGAAGAGGATTGGGTATGGGGAAGAAGAATAAATACTCGGTACTCTGTCTTAAATTAATAAAAGGTGGGATTACGGAGGATTTTGTTTGTTCCAACATCAACACCAACACCAACATCCTTTTCTTTTCTTACTGTTTTTCCTTTTCTCTTTTCTTTTACGATCGTTTTCTTCCCAGCATGTCTGTCTCACGCGGTGTTGTTGCATTGGTATTGGTTGGTTATGCGTTGGCGGCACCTGCTCCGCAAGTTACGACATCACCGGAAAAGGTCGCTGGTTTACAGGGTGTTACGGAGCCATGTGCCCAAGTTAATAGCATAATAGACAATTGGAATAGCCCATCAGGTAAGGAGTTTACCATCCTTTTAGTTTTCCCCGTTCACACTCCCTAGGAGCCACGTCTGGAAATACAGACAAAGCACGTATTCCGGTATCACTCGCTAAACAATGTCTGGATTCTGTTCCTCTGAACGTATTCAATGCACAAAAATATCTCGATTACTACCTTCCTTACCTGAATCTTCAAAGTACACTCGCTTATCTGAAAGACCCCCCCAAATGGTGGACACTGGATGCTGTTGACGTGCTTGGCGGGGTTAAGCAGATCTCGAAGAATATCAAGACGGGGTATTATAAGAGCGAATATGATTTTGAGGCCGATGTTTACTTTTTGATCATGGTCCTACCGAGAGATTTTCACTTTAGTGTCCCGCTTCCCTTGATGGATGTATTTACAGTTGAACTTGGGCTTCCGCCATTGGTTTCGGTCTCGATCGATGGGAAAAATATTCCCCAGGTTTATGTAGTTAGTAAGTATCCCATCGCATCCGGCCTATATTGCTCCCTTTAATACTAACCCATTGCTCAGGTGATCTATACAAACTCCACAACTCCTCAGTCGGCCTCCCATATAAACCATCCCCCATCAAAACCATTAATGGTGAACCAGCCGCAGACTTCATGCTCCACATGGCTCTCGACGAAAAACAATATCATGATCCCGATGCAATATACAACCTTGCCTTCACGGAAATTCCTCTCAAGGACAAAATTGATGACAGAATGGGACAAATCTACAGCCATGGTTTCAACGTTGACAAAACCACCTGGACATTCCAGAACGGAACAACCAAATCAAAGGACAACTACGCAACCGTAGTTAAAGGCTTCACAAACATCAAGAGTGGAAAAGATGTGTATGAGAAGTTGGTCCTCTCGCCATCCAAAACTACGGAGGACGACAGTCTCGCATCGGCAATAAATGCAATTATGAATCCGAAAAAGCAGGACGCTGCGACTCCTGTGCAACCTGGAGATGCATTTCCTTCCCAGGCAGGGTTCCCAGTTCCTGTTCTTGGGGACCCGGCTGGAAAAACGGCGGGTTATTACCTCAAGGCTCCTAATGACAATGTTGCTGTTCTTGATATCACCGGTTTTGAGAATGAAGAGAAGACGGAGATCAACCAAGTCACGATCATCTGGCAATTCCTCAAGAAGGCCAAGGCTGATGGGAAAACCAAAATGGTGGTCGACGTAAGTTCACTGTTTCCTTCCATCCTAAAAATATATGGGAATAAGATGTTAACACGACGCAGCTTCAACATAACGGTGGCGGACTTGTAGGGAATGGTTATAAAACATTCAGCGCTTTTTTCCCCTCGGATACTATCCTCGGCGCCGCTCGCCAACGTTCAAAACCCATGGTAAACTTCTTCTCCAATATTACCACAGCTATGGACACCTTTAAGACGGATATCTTCAGCAAGACAGCTGTTGCTAAGGGTGCTTATTCTCTTGACAAGATGCTAGATAAGAATACGCAACTGTTTAAAAGTCCCAAGGACTGGGTTGGTCCCAACCATATCCATGATGATGATTTTACCGCCATCGAGAGACCGGGTAAGGTGGGCAAAGGTGAGAAAGGCGGAAGTAAACCTGATCTCTTACCGGAAATGGATATTATTCTGCTGCAGGATGGGACTTGTGGATCGACTTGTGCTCTGTTCTCGCAATTAATGAAGTCCCAAGGCGGAGTACGAAGTATCGCAGTAGGAGGTCGAGCCAAAGCCGGTCCCATGCAGGGTGTAGCAGGAAGTAAAGGGTATGTACCTCTCAAATCCACACGAAAACATCAGCTAATCAAGAAACAGAGCACAAGTCCTCACTCACAAACAAGTCCAAGACCTAACCCAAGCCTGCTACACCTCTTTTGCCACCCTCAAAGCAAACGATATCCCCTTTCCATCTCCCCAATCCATTCCCCAAGAATACAAAATATCCCTCCTCGACCCGCCCATCGGAACACCCGACCTAACCGGCCGTTTCAACCTGAAGAACAACTACAACTCCACGAACGCTGATGAAGTCCCTCTGGAATTCGTCTACGAAGCGACGAACTGCAGGATCTACTTTGAGCCCAGCGATGTCTTCGACATCGCTGGTCTCTGGGCACGAGTTGCGGACCATGCGTGGGGTGGGAAACAGTGTGTGGAGGGAAGTACGACGAATAAGGATGGGTCAATTAGTGGAAGCGCGTATGATACCGTGCCATTCAGTGATAGTGCAAAGGCGGGGGTTAAGATTGGGTTGAATGTCCCTACGGAGTGGGTTTGAGTATAATTTAGCCATGATTGAAGGAAGATAATGGGAGTAGAGTACATTCATGTTTAGTATCGTGTCATTTTTAGCGATGGTTTTGTTATAGGAGTTTTGTTGGGAGCGAGTTTGCATTGAATTGGTGACTTATATAGGATTCAAATCTTTGTTTACAATAGAGTCTTCATTAATACAATACTTATCAATGAATATCACTTGAGACTAATACACGCTTCTTCGGTGTTATTCAACGCTGGGCAACTAGAATTCTTTTCTATTCTAGACCCCCTTCAGAATAATTCTATTCTAGAGGTATATATTCTAATATCAGCGCAGAAAATTCGAGTAGTTGAGTTGAGTAATAGTACCTACTTAACTTAACTCGAGTAGTGAAAATCACTAATCAACTTATCTCGCCAAGTAAGAGAGACGGGTATTACTCTATAATCTTACACCCCTAAATTATAAAAGATATTATTCTAAAGACTAACTTATATATCACCAAATTAACTATATAAATAATTTTTAATAGCCTATATAGAGTAATAACTAGATTTATTATAAGTATATCGGGAATTATATAAATTAATACTAGTAAGTATCTCTATAATAGAATATAAAGCCTATACTAATTTCCTTATCCTTATAGCTTATAACAAGTAACCGTCCGTAGACAAAGAAAGAACCGGATAGACAATAAGTAGATCTCTATCTAGTATTATAGTCATATTACTATAGCTATATTAGAATATATACCTAAACTATATACTATTATATAAACTACTTAAGATACTATAATAAGAAACTATTAAAAAGCCCGATAAAATTTACCTATAAACAAACACCTCCTCCCTCCCCCATTCCCCCCCAC